CCCCAAAACCCCAAAACCCCGTTAAGTATGATTTGCTTAACATTAATGTTAGAAATAATTAGACAAATAAAAGGATTTAAATTAATGAAGAAATTTGTAAATGAAGATCTTAAAGGCGTTCTTAATGAGTACCAAATTATTATTCCCAAAAAGAGGCATCCTAAAAGAGTATTTAATACTTCAAGCACTCAATGAAAAATAGAGACATCAAGTACATTAAATGAAGACTAATCAATAGGAGTTAACCAAATTAATTCAGCTAATTTTATCAATTAAAGTAACTCAAATTTCTAAATTGGATCTCATCCCTAAATATAAACTAACAAAACAAGAAATTAAGTTTAAGAAACAATGATTAGTGAATAGTATTATACTCAAAAGAAAAATCCTCCTTTCAAGGTAGCTAATTTGTTGATAAATGATTAGTTTTCATTGGAAAAATAAACCTAAAAAATGTATGTTCCCAAAAATGTGATGAATAAGGAAAAAGGCAGAAAGCAGCTCAAACTTATGATTAGTAATTATTTCCATTAAGTTTAAGGTTAGCCCCTAAGGTAGAGAAGGGCTTCTAAGGAAAATCGTACAAACATGTCTGATGAGAATTCTAAAGGTAAAGAAGACATCATACTCTTGGTAAGCAAAGATGCTTCAAGAGATCATATCTGATCAAATGAGTTGTCTCCTGTTCAAAGTGAATCTAATGAAGAGTAAATGAGAATAACTCAGAGGAAATTTGTTCTGAGTCCCCTAAAAAATAAGAGGCGGGGAATGTATGAATAATCCATTGATGGTATCAAGAATTTTCCAGATATTGAATAAAAGCCAAAATATCACATAAATCATCTCTAGTTCAAGGATGTTAACATTAAGCAATGCTAGTCAGTATCGATACAGAATAAAATTAATATACCAAATATGAAAACTTAGGATTAAGCATTAAAGCTTTCTGAGCTCACCAATAATATGATTCTGAATAAGGACTCTGATATAATCTCTTGGAGAGACACTACAACAAGTGATTCGATGAGCAGCAGAAATTTGTTTAGCAGCAATCGTAGAATGATATAAATTTAGTAATAAAACCACAATCTCTCAAGAAATCAGAATTTCTCATAAAATATCTAGGATGCTAAATCAAATATCAATTTATCTGTGAATTATAAATAGGATACAGCAAATTAGCAAACTCAGGTATCAGAATCAAACATTTTTATTCCGTAAGTCTAAGTTGAATCTACTAATTCTGCCTAATTAACACAAAGAGAGTATAATCCATTAGAATCCTAGAGATAGCATATCCTCCCATAGTTCAGCTAGTCAAATGCGATAAACTAAACTAGTTCTAACTAAAGTAGAGTATTTTAAGGAAAATTAAACTCAGTTGAAAAGACAGCAAAGAGACACTTATTCCAAAGGATGCACAATTTTTAAATAAATACTGATACTTCATATAATGATCAACCTACCTCAAACCAAGTTACTCCTGGTCCATATACTATGAAAGGCATTGAAAACAAGAAAAATGTGATTAGAAGCATGAATACATTCTTCAACGAAATTAACATTAAAAAAGAAGGATATACTCCAAATAGAGACAACTAATCTAAACCTTTGATTTTTTCAATTGAAACTCCTCAAGTTACTAGAAATCAGTTTTTCTCTAGAGATAATAATAGTATCTACTCCATGAACAAGAGATATAAAAACTAGTTTCAAAGTTTATAGATGAGACTTAATAGATAAAATCAAGATGCTGTTGATATAAAAAACTTAATCTCAAGTGAATTCAATAATGACGCTAGAGATCTTTAATCATAAAATGAACAACAGGAGTTATTGGAGATAGAAATGCATATTAAGGATTTTTAAAATGCCAATTAGAAGAGGTCTTAAAAAGATTAAAACTAAAAAATATAAAAGTTCCTATAAAAAATTTGAATGATTAAGATTTAAAATTTCATTAATCCTAGATATTTTTGAATTTGGTTGAGAGGGGTTTTGGGGTTTTGGGGTTTTGGGG